ATATGCCCTAGAGGCAATAATAAAGTTATTATTTATTTCCTCATATCATGATAAATGTTTATTATTCATGCTAGAATTGTATTAACCGGAAACATGATACATGTGTGAATACATAGACAAACATAAAGTCACTAGTATGCCTCTACTTGACTAGCTCGTTAATCAAAGATGGTTATGTTTCCTAACCATAGACATGTGTTGTCATTTGATTAATGGGATCACATCATTAGGATAATGATGTGATTGACATGACCCATTCCGTTAGCCTAGCACTTGATCGTTTAGTATATTGCTATTGCTTTCTTCATGACTTATACAAAGTTCCTGCAACTATGAGATTGCACAACTCACGTTTACCGGAAGAACACTTTGTGTGCTACCAAATGTCACAACGTAACTGGGTGATTATAAAGGTGCTCTACAGGTGTTTCCAAAGGTACATGTTGGGTTGGCATAATTCGAGATTAGGTTTTGTCACTCCGATTGTCGGAGAGGTATCTCTGGGCCCTCTCGTTAATACTCATCACCTAAGCCTTGCAAGCATTGTAACTAATGAGTTAGTTATAAGATGATGTGTTACAGAACGAGTAAAGAGACTTGCCGGTAACGAGATTGAACTAGGTATTGGATACCGACGATCAAATCTCGGGCAAGTAACATACCAATGACAAAGGGAACAACGTATGTTCTTATGCGGTTTGACCGATAAAGATCTTCGTAGAATATGTAGGAACCAATATGGGCATCCAGGTCCCGCTATTGGTTATTGACCGAGAATGGTTCTAGGTCATGTCTACATAGTTGTCGAACCCGTAGGATCCGCACGCTTAACGTTACGATGACAGTTTTATTGTGAGTTTATAAGTTTTGATGTACCGAAGTTTGTTCGAAGTCCCGGATGTGATCACGGACATGACGAGGAGTCTTGAAATGGTCGAGACATAAAGATTGATATATTGGACGACTATATTCGGACACCGGAAGTGTTCCGGGTAATTTCGGAGAAAACCGGAGTGCCGGGAGGGGGGGGTTACCGGAACCCCCCGGGAGAGTATTGGGTCTTATGGGCCTTAGGGGAAAAGGAGAGAGGAACGGCCAGCATGGGCCGCGCGCCCCCTCCACCCTCTGGTCCGAATTGGACTAGGAAGGGGGGGGGGCGCCCCCCCTCTTTCCTTCCCTCTCTCCCCCTTCCTTCCCCCTCCTAGTAGGAGTTGGAAAGGAGGAGTCCTACTCCTACTAGGAGGAGGATTCCTCCTCCCTTGGCGCGCCCAAGGGGCCGGCCGGCCTCCCCCTTCCTCCTTTATATACGGGGGCAGGGGGGCACCCCATAGACACAAGTTGATCTACGGATCGTTCCTTAGCCGTGTGCGGTGCCCCCCTCCACCATATTCCACCTCGGTCATATCGTCGCGGAGTTTGGGCGAAGCCCTGCGCCGGTAGAACATCATCATCGTCACCACGCCGTCGTGCTGACGGAACTCATCCCCGAAGCTTTGCTGGATCGGAGCCCGAGGATCGTCATCGAGCTGAACGTGTGCTGAACTCGGACGTGCCGTACGTTCGGTGCTTGGATCGGTCGGATCGTGAAGACGTACGACTACATCAACCGCGTTGTGCTAACGCTTCCGCTTACGGTCTACGAGGGTACATGGACAACACTCTCCCCTCTCGTTGCTATGCCATCACCATGATCTTGCGTGTGCGTAGGAAAATTTTAAAATTACTACGTTCCCCAACAAATACCCCTTATACTTCATGCTCAAGATGTTTTTTGCAGAAAATGCTGCCATACTCAAGTTTTTTTGCTGAAAATACTCCATGTTCAAGTTGAATGCATCCAAAAAATTTGTGTTGTCAGTGAGGGACTGAAGAAAATGTGTTCTCAAATTTATTTACTGTAGATCCAGTAGAACAAATTGTGTTGGCAAATTTCAAATTGTGTCTCAGACAATGGCCTGGAGTACTCATCATGGAGTAGTTCTGGTAGATTTCTTGGACTTCAGATTTCAAGATCATGGAGTAGTTCTGGCATGGAGTAGTTATGGCAGATTGTTGTATTAATATAGGAGTACTCTGTTTAGAACATGGAGTAAATTCAGTAGAAATTTTTACAGCATGTACTCAAAACTTTAGACTTGCTTTTGTACCGCTCCAGCTTACTCAAAACTTTAGCTCCAGCTTACTCAAAACTTTAGAACATGTTCAGTTTTCAGTTAACTCCATACAAGGGACTCTTGCTTTTTTACTAAAGCTAGATTGCAATTGCAGTAGAAGATAATCTCATATCATCAGTAGATTGCAATTTGGAGTATCATCTAACTGATGATATGGGATTAGCAAAGGCCTTGCTTGCCAAGCATACAGATTAGCAAAGGCCTTGCTTGCCACTAACCTTAAAAGTATACTGATTGTGACATTAGCATGCCTCATTGAAATAAATCCAAATATTTTAAATTAATTCAAATAACTAAAATTAATCCAAATTATTACCTTTGCATGCCTATGGTAGAAAAGTGTCAAGAAAAATATACTCCTGTCAATAGAATCAAAACTAATTTATTACCTTTGCATATAAACTACTCCTAGTGAAACTACAACACATTCCAATCAATTTATGTTTTCTTATTTTTGTTTTTTCTCTCTACAGGAAATACTTTGGCATGGTACAGTTTGACCAGCCACAGGACCAAATCAGTTAACCTACTCCCTTTAGTCTGCATCAAGGTACAGATCTTTTAACTGAATTTTAACAGTCTGGTGATGTTTTCACTGACATCACAAGTTAAATGTTTCCTTGCATGTTCAACTGAATTATGGCCGAGTTTAGATATTTAACAAAATTATGACATCTTGTGAGGTGGTGCCTTATTCAGCCTGTGCAAGCTTGTGTTTTCCTGTGCTGTATGTAAACTGTAATCATCTTCAGCCTACTCCTTCAGTACAAACACCTGACTGACTCTTCAGATTGTGATTCGATTTTCGCAATTGATAATCAGCGTAGTCAGCAAGCAATTCAGCATCATTTGGGTTCCTGTATGTAAACCTAACAATGGAGTTTGTGACCTGCATTAGATTATTAGACATCTTTCATGTGTCATGTTTTCATGGCCGAACAGGAATTTTGGTAGTGGTGGTTGTCGATCCTAACACCAAGTTGCTTTCTATTGTTCAGGTTTGGAGACCAATGAATCCTAAAAACTGTGAGGTTTTTGTCTGCCATGTCCCCATAACAGAGCAAGATGAAGATAAAGAGCTTTATAAATTCCCATTGACTGACTGAATTATACTCTGATCATAATTGACACTTGACTGGCTGAATTATACTCTGATCATAATTGACACTTGACAGTTTACACTCCACATCCACTCCATACCTTTCCCTGGAGTACAGTTTACACTTGACAGTGTTCGTTCAGATCATAATTGCTCTGCTGATATCTACTAATTTTTTTCAGTTAACACTAATCATATTCAGTTAATATTGTTCTTCCTGACGAACAGGAGCAGAGCAGCAACTCCTTACAGTACACTGATCATATTCAGCACAGGGAGCAGAGGAGCAACTCCTTACGGTACCTTCTTCCTCCTGACGAGCAGGAGCTCTGGCGGCAGCACCGGCAGACGAGCAGCAGCAGTACTAGTAGACGAGCAGAAGCTGTACGGGCAGAGGAGCTCCACCGGCGGTAGGGGAGAAGCAGCCGCACGGGCGCGCGGGCAGAGGAGAAGGAGTTGCACGGGCTCGCGCGGGAGATTGAGGAGGACGCGCGGGAGATCGAGGAGGCAGCGCGCGAGCTCCTGGTCCACCGGATCGTGGAGGCAATTTCTGGCGACGCCCGTAGGGGATCGCAGCCGGGAGGAATTGCGGCGGCGCACACGTGGGAGCTCGAGGAGGATGCGCTGGAGCTTGAGGAGGATGCGCTGGAGCTCGAGGTGGACGCCCGCGAGCTCGAGGAGGACGCTGCCGGAGGTCCCGACGACGCCCGCAGGTAATCGAGGCGGGAGGGGATCGCGGTGACGCAGGTCTGAGCGGGGGAGGCGGCGGAGCAGGTACTTGGCGACGGCGACGGCGGAGCAGGTACTTGGCGACGGCGGCGGAGCACTTCCTGATGGGCGGCGATGACGACGGCGGCGGCAGCTGGGCGGCGCCAGCCCTATCGACGACGGAGGAAGAAGACAGGGGGCGGAGGGGCTTCTTTCAGACGATTTTAAAACTACGAGGGCTTTTTTTGCAAAATCACCCATGAACTGTGCCCACGACATGTTTTTCGGGACGGAGGGAGTATTTAGAAACAGGAGGGAGTATTTAGAAACAGGAGGGAGTAGTAACTAGTAATAGGACAAGCATTAACTCTATCTCGATGCAGGCTGCCAGTCAAACAGCGCCGCCGTCGTCCCTTCCTGCATCATCTGTCTGCATGACAGCCCGGCCCCACTAGCCCCACGGATCCACCTGTCAAGCCATGCATGCATGCAGGCGAGCCACGTGTCCGTCCTCCGCCGGGCAAGCCAGGTCGCCGGCCCCATCCGGAACCCGAGGCACGCAGTCGTAGTAGGAGAGAGTAGATTCGTGCCGCCATCATACCGCGCCCACGTTTTTCCCCGATCGATTGATTTCTTCTCCTCCCCCCTCGCCCGCCGGGTCTCCAACGGCACCGCCGAAACGGCAGCGCGGGCGTCGCCTCGCCCGCATCCCTCGCTCGCGCGCCCGCCCGCGGCGACGAGGACTGGACGGTGGCGGGAGTGAGAAAGGAGGAAACTCTCCCGGAAGAGGCACTCCTCTTAGTCCACACGCGAGTCGCCAATACAAGGCAGCGTTTTAAAGCAGGCAATTAAGCCAGTGGGCGTTCCGTTTCCGTTTCATTCTCTTTCCCCTTCGGCCGTCGCGTCGATACATCTCTCTCCCCTCGGCGGCCATTAATTGGACGGGATATCGATCTAGCCAGAGATAAGCGTTGCGTCCGCGGACAGAGAGAGAGAGAGAGGCAGGGAGAAGGGCGGCCATGACCACCGGCGGGGAGGAGCAGCAGGGGCGGAGGCTGTTCGGCGTGTCCCTCACGGACAGGCCCGTCTGGCAGCAGTTCCTCATCTGCTCCTCCGGCTTCTTCTTCGGCTACCTCGTCAATGGCATCTGCGAGGTACGTACGCACGTGAATCCTTCCTCTCCTCGACCTCCTCCCCTCCTCCTCCTTACGATTATCACTCTACTCGTCCGTGTTCGTCGAATTCACGCAACATCATCATTTCATTGTATGTAAGTATGGAGATCTCGCAAGATTTTCTTCCTTATCGAAAGAGAAATCTCGCAAGATTTTACGTTTCCGAGTGCATTGATTTTTCCTGTTGAAAATCCGGAATTAATTGTGCTAGGATCGATAGATAGATAGATACTGTTTCTTTTCCACTCCCCGTGTGTATTTGTCTTCGTCCTAGACTTACTGACTGACTGACTCGTAGAGTTGCGTGGTCAACATGGTACACCGAACCCGAAGCTTCTGCACACGTTCCCCTGATTTTTATTTTCTTTTTCCTCGTACAATTCCTGCACAAAATCGACGATCGATCTCCTATCGTTTTCCAAACTTTGTCGTGGCTAACTGAATTCTACGTGCCTCGTGCTTCTGCTGCAGGAATACGTCTACAACCGGCTCCAGTTCAGGTGAGCCTTCTATCTCACCCACCTAATGATTGGTGATTGATCACTTGCGAGACATACTTACTCTCACTCTCTCAGTGTACTAATGGTGTTTGTGGTGGTGGTGCAGCTATGGGTGGTACTTCACGTTCGTGCAGGGGTTCGTGTACCTGGCGCTGATCAGGCTGCAGGGGTTCACGATGAAGCACATGGTGAACCCGTGGCGGACCTACGTGCGCCTCTCCGCCGTGCTCATGGGATCCAACGGCCTCACCAAGGGCTCCCTCGCCTTCCTCAACTACCCCGCACAGATCATGTTCAAGTCCACCAAGGTGAGCTTCGCCAAACTCATTACTGCTCTTTCTAGTTTCTGACAGTGCAGTAGTAACTTGACTTATCATCATTGTTTCATTTTATTACTATTGCGGCATGGGATGTGTTGTGGTCTTGTGTGAGGAAATGGGAACCTTTCTGTTCTGGGGAATGCTCCAATTTGAGAATCCGACATCAGAGATGATGTTTGCTGAGCGGCCAAGCTATTCCTGTTAAATCATGTACAAATTCTAGCGTGTTTCTACTTTTGAGCCCGGGATAGTACACGTACTCCTCTCGCTAAAATTGCAGTACGTAGGGCAGGCAGGCTGAATGATTCTCATACACAATGTTGTTGATATGCGCATTCTGAATGATTATCTCTTAATTGGGTATGCACGGCAGGTTTGTTTTTAAAATGTATAGTTTTGCCTGTGACAAAATGTCTAGTATTTTTCCAGCAAGAAATTGATTTTCAATGGTGTTAAATAATGAACTAGTGGTAGTACTTCTGCGAAGGCCGAAGGGAATGTGCAGCTGAAGGAGTACACTGTTGCTTGTAGCACTTCCTCGGTTCCTTGTCCCTAGGAAGCAGAGCAGAAACCCATGTGAATGTTTACTTCTTCCCATGTTTTGAAACTCCCAATTGGTAGTAAGGTGACTACTGACTACTGGTGATTTTCTGACAGAAGTCGAAATGAAGTTGAGACCAGAGAATTTCAGATAGTACTTTATCTGAAAATAAAGAATTTCTAGTTTCAATCAGCGGTGCAGATCTTATTTCTGTATTTGACCTTTCACTCTGCCATTCAGGTGTTGCCGGTGATGATAATGGGAGCATTTATCCCAGGATTAAGACGCAAGTACCCGTTCCATGAGTACGTATCGGCAGTGATGCTCGTCATCGGCCTCATACTTTTCACGCTCGCGGACGCGCAAACGTCTCCTAATTTCAGCATGATCGGCGTGGCCATGGTGTCCAGTGCACTCATCATGGATGCCTTCCTGGGTAACCTGCAGGAAGCCATCTTCAAGATGAACCCTGACACTACACAGGTACTTTGTGTGCATCTTTGATGTCCACTACATGTTTCTGTCAGTTACTGAACTGGGAGGACACTGACACTGAATACTTGCTCTCTGGTTAGATGGAGATGCTGTTCTGCTCAACTGTTGTTGGCCTGCCTTTCCTCGCTGTGCCAATGGTGTTAACAGGGGAGCTTACGACAGCGTGGAGCGCGTGCTCTCAGGTATATGATCAGAATCTCTCATCCATGTTGTTTTTTCAGGGATTTCAATCATCAGATCCTTTAGTTCAGAATGTGTACAAACCAGATGGTAGGGAAAGAATCAACTACTCTTTTGTGAACAACACTAGCCTTCAGGAATCCATCTTTGGTAGAGTATAGTTCATTTGTACAGAACAAGACATCCCAGCACTACATTCTTCATTCTTCTGACTTGATTCTGACCACATTGTCCGGAAAAGTATCTGATCCACTTGAAATTTAAAAGTGCTCCTGGCTAACTTGCTGTTAGTACTTCTCCCCAAAAAGATTGCTGAAAAAGATTAATCTGACAGACGTTTATGTCCACTTGCAGCACTTGTACGTGTATGCCGTGTTGGTTTTCGAGGCGATGGCGACGTTCGTCGGGCAGGTGTCGGTGCTGTCCCTCATCGCGCTCTTCGGGGCAGCCACGACGGCCATGGTGACGACGGCGAGGAAGGCGGTGACCCTGCTCCTGTCGTACCTGATATTCACCAAGCCCATGACGGAGCAGCACGTCACGGGGCTCCTGCTGATCACCATGGGGATCGTGCTGAGGCTCCTGCCGGAGGACAAGGAGAAGAAGGGCACGGCCGAGCGCCAGCAGGCGAAGGCGCAGCGCGGCGAGGAGAAGCGGCGGGGAGACGGAGTAGAGGAGGAGACATCGCCGTTGGTATGATCGGTGACTTGGATGAGCTGAACGAATAACAAATCAGAGTGCAGGATTTGGCCAAGTCTGCTTTTGTGAACCTTTGTCCAGTTTGTGTTGTTTGATGTCGTGGAACTGTTTTGGGGATTGTAACTTGTAAGTTAAAGGAACAAATCAGAGTGCAGGATGGCGATGATCAGAGATGGATTAGATGTTGTTAATCCTTTTCCCTTGGGTCTCTGTGACAATATATCATGGACAACTGAGATTATCAATTAAGTGGAAAATCACATAAAATTCGTTAAAGTCATCTTCTCCAGACCAGACTAAGCTTCTCATTGACATCTTTGATGTTCCTCCGTGTCGTAGTTTTTGCTTTTGAAAACACCTCACTGATGACCTTTTTTTTAGAATATTGATGACACCTCACTCGAGCTTATTATTGATCATACTTCTCTCCGTTCATGGCGGAATGTGATATGTCCAGCCGTCTCCTTCGTTTGCTTGATCTCCCTAGTAAAAGGCGTGTGTTCTGCTCTGCTCCGTTCCTCTGGTCCACTGCACAGTTTGAAACGGTGAACCCATCTCCAGAAGATCTTGCCGAAACCATAATGCCTAAAATCACTAGTTAAGATGTACCTCTTGCACATGTCACTCTCACTCCCTTTGGTGGTGAAGATTTTATCTCAATCATGCATCCAAATCACGAACCATTTTCGATGTTGCGTTTCCCATGTTGAGATCTTCGAAATTAGATCCAATGTTAATAGATTTGGACGAACTATTTTTTCCAAAAAAAAGAAGCAGAAAAAACAGGAAACAAAGAACAAAAACATGGGAGGCATGTTTTGTGCATTTTCACTTTTCAGGAAGCGCAGTTGTGCTTCAACGTGAAGTACAAGTTTGTTTTTGACTTTTCAGAAACACAACTATGTTTTTTACTTTTTCGGAAAGCATGTTTGTGCTTTATTGGGAAGCATAACAGTCCTTTTCACACGGTGTGCTTC